GCCCACACCCACACCCACACCCACCCACACCCACACCCACACCCACACCCACACCTTCACCCACACCCTTCTCTGAGTCCACCCACACCGGCAGGGTATGTGGGTGTTGGTTTGTCTAAGGCCAACACCGACACCCACATACCCATCCACCCACAAAGTCAACTGGTGAAAATAACGTAAAAATTTTTGATCGCATATGTATAGATGTCAGCGGCGGCGACTTGTGTTATAAAAAGGTTTTTTTCGTGCCTGCAGCGCAGCGACTGATTTCGATTTTTTCACGGCGGCGGCTGAGAAATTTTTAAAATTACCTATAATTTAGTGGCAGCGGCGGCGGCGGCGGCTCAGCTGGATGGCTTACACCTCTAGGAATATATAGGAAAATGGCTCTATATACTATTTAATGGTAAAATATGTTTTTCATGTACAAAACTTAATCCAATCAAAATATAAATATGATATTCATGATCAGTGCACAAAATTCGCATATAAATGATGTGTTTCTAAGAATATACGAAGAAAAAAAAAATTTTCAAATCTTGAGGTATACCATAGGGGGTAAAATCTTCACTTTGAAATGACGAAAAACGAAGTCATAGGAAATACTTCTAGTGACTCCCTAACACCTTTCAGATAGATAAAAGTCAAAAATATCGTGAGGAAAAATCGTCATTCCGGGACACATCCTTTTCCTACAGATAATTCAATATTAGAAAAAAAAAGAAGACACTGATTTGTATGAAATTTTATCAAACTTTATCGAAATATTCAATAGCTTTTTTCATATAAACTTAATTTTCGATACCAAATGGCATATTCTGTTAATACAGTTCATTTAAGATTAATTCTTAATCGTTCATTCTCATGATTATGATTAACAATAGTTTTATCAATACATTCAAGTAATTCAATTTTATTTAGATTATTAATCGCATTTTCATTTTTTATTTTTAAATAATCACCATAAATATCAACAGCTTCTGTTACTTAATTTATTCATTAAAAGAAAAATAAATTCACAAACAAAAAATCAACCAATCTCATATTTGATCTTTTATTCTGTTCAATAGCATTAAAAAGATCATCAAGTTGAATTCACCACAACTAGCATCAATAATCATTGTATAAGAAATATTCAAAGGCAAGGAAAAAAAATGAATATTATAATTGTCGATGACAATTAGATCACTGATTATAACCAATAACAAATGAGAAATATTAGCAATTTTCACGTAGTATCATCGATGATCTGCTTTGTTATTTCTAAAATATAATGAATTAGGAAAAACATTTATTCGTTATGATTAATATTATTTGCATATATAGCGCTAGGCCTTTCTCTTGATTTAAAATCTAATCAAACTATTACATTTTAAAAATATGTATTGATTCTCAGCAATAGAATTAGGATAAAACTGTTTCTTTCTGTCATATTAAGTTTAGAATACGAAGTCCAAACTACGTGGTTGTTTTAATCAATAAACACAATCGAATGGCCAATATTCCCATAACACAATGTATCATATACAAGGACAAATATATGATACGAATTGAAGTATAAAAGGAGTAGTAGATTATTCTTTATCTTCACTTCATATTGGAAATATTTAAAAAACAATGAAAGCTGCTCTTGCTCTCGTCTTTCTTTCTTGCATTGTTGGTTCAATGGCTTCGGATTCTCGTAGCCAATTTGTAGATCAACTTGTACAACAAGGACAAGTTGTTGCTCAGGCTGTTTTTACTCAACTTCAACAACAAATCATTAGTCTTGTTCAGCAAGCTGTTAATCAACTCTCATCTCTTGTTAGTTCACTTGGTCGATTTGACTTGAGCTGGGACGGCATTGTTCACCATTTCTCATCCATTTTAAATCATCTTATCGGTAACGCTATTGGTTCAGTTATTCAGGGTTTTCTAGGTGGCCCGCCTAGTATGTACTATTCTTACTTTCTATCTGAAAACTTCAATTCTAATTTCTGACAAATAGGTCGTGGCTTCGTTGATCTTGCCGGCGTCTTCCACGCATTCCTCCAACAAATCAAAGAAGCCATCACTCAAATGGGTCAGCAAATACTCAGTCAAGGTTTAGCTGCTGCTCTTAGTAGCTTTGGTGGATCACGTGGTTTTGGTGACATCTTTGCTAGTCAGTAGATACATATTAATATTTGACAAAGAAACATTGATTTTCTTGTAGCTCTTCAACAACAAATTGCTAACGCTGTCACAGTTGCTCAAGGTGTCCTCCAAGGTGCTCTTGGCAACCTATCTGCTCTTGGTTCAACCGTACTTGATGCTTCAAAAGAACACTGGGAACAACTTCAAGAACAGCTTGTTGGTCATGGTCTCAATGCTCTTGGTTCAATCTCAGAAACCATCAATAACCTTCACGGTACAATCACCGGTGGTCGTTAAATATCTTGATGAAATTTTATATCTGAATAGTTTTTTTTTTTTTTTTTGATGAAATAAAAATTTTATTCTTGATAATTATTATAAACAAACAAAAAAATTCGTTAACTAACCATTAAATGTTCTTCATCAAAATTGATCTATAAGGAACTAGCTGAACGATGAAATGATGATAGCAAATAAGTTTATCAAGTTTCTGAGTAATATCATCAAGTGTTCGAGACATTGGAACATTTGGAAATGTATCAATCTTTGAATATATACATAAATTATTGTTCATTGTCATCGTTGTATTCTTAACAATACCTAATGATGATAATTAAGATTATGATAAGCGAAATTTTGCTTTAATTTCCGATAGAAAACTAATAGCAATAAAAAGGTCAGGTAAAGAATTAATAATATCAAATAATAACCAAAGTATATCTTATTTAAATATAATACAAATGACTAACAGTACATTCAATGAAGTCCTATTCAAATTGTTAGACGAAAATAAAGAAAAATATGTGATTGATCATTTTCTTCAGTACATCTTATTCGATGAATAACAATCACTGCTCTAATAAACAGACTAACATTGATCAAAATTAAAAATCCAATAGGAAAAAGAAAAAAATGTTATTCAAGCATATCAAAATGATATTGAACAAAGAATTCGTCCATAATTTTCTTACTATCGGGTTTGTCTGAAAAGTACGTGCAACTGTATCTTAATTGCATGTATGAAACGTTTAATTCATGCAATTGTGAAAAACGTGAATTTTCAACACAATATAGATCTTCTTCTCGACTGATTGCATCATTTTGTGAAAAGAATTAGTTTTCGCAACTGTGTCTATCCATAAGAATTAGCTAGTTGAGTAGTCAGAAATAGATAACGAAATAAATGATACCAAACTACAACAAAATGCATTTCTAGATTTTATTTAAAAATCATTGATGATTTCATTACAAGGTTATATGAGTATCACTCAATATCATCATAGAATGAATAACAAAAACAAAGAGTAGCACGTATTACTACGGAAAGAGAAAAATGTGCAAAACGAAAGAATAAATATTTTCAAAAATATCTATTCCTTCGCTCTGTACATTTTTTGTTTGTTTGTATGAATATGTGCAACTTTTTGCTTTTGTTATTCATACCTCTGGTTATAACGAGTGATACTTATAGAATCTTTACATGGAATTATAAGTGATTCGAAATAAAATGTAGAAACGTATTTCGTTGCCATTTAGTTGTATCGCTTTCGTATCTATTCGTGTTTCAGACATGTCAAACATCGAATATCGAACGATCATAAAGTTTTTTACTTGGAAATGATTGAATGCCATCGAAATCACCAAGGAACTAAAAAGAAGTTTATAACAACTCGGCTCCAGCGTACTGTACCGTTGCAAAATGGGTGGCTGAATTTAAGGATGATTCAACACGAGACTTTGAAGATGCACTACGAAGTGGTCGTCCATCGACTACAACCACCGATGAAAGTATTAAAGTCATGGAACGTATTGTAATGCATGATCGACAAATTTCCGTTCGCTGCGTAGCTAACGAGTTGAACATTCCAAAAACTATTGTTCACACAATTATGAACACCTATTTAGATATGCACAAGGTCTATGTTCGTTGGGTACTGAAGTTCTTGACCCCGCTTCAATGCGCTAATCGAGCGGGTTTGTCAGGAGCTACTGCATGCGTGTAGACCGAATTCGACCAAATTTCTCAGTCGTATCGTAACCGGGATGAAACATGGGTGCATCACTATGATCCACTCAGTCGCTAGGAAGTTATGATCTGGAAGAAATCAGAAGAGACACCAACTCAATCCGATCGGCAGCGATCCGCAGGTAAGGTCATGCTCGTCATTTTCTGGAACGAAGACGGCGTGCTGCTCATCGACTATCTGACTGATGGGGAGACGATCGGTGGCTCCTATTATGCTTCACTTATCGAGCAAATACGTGCCATTATTCTAGTGAAGCATCACGGAAAAATCAACCGTGAAGTGCTACTTCTTTATGGCAATGCGTCTGTCCACGAGAGCAATGTTGTGCAAGCTGATATTCCTAAGGTGAGTTTCGTCTAACTGAATTATCCTGCCTATTCTTCGGATATTGCACCTAGTGACTATTACTTGTTCAAAAATTTGAAAACATTTCTTCGTAGCAAGAATTTTGACTCTGATGACGAAGTGAAAACGACTGTTGAGCGATACTTAGGTAATCTTGATTCAGAGTTTTTGTTTTTCAATGAAATAAAAAGTTTATATGGCCGCTAGTAACATGTGGTTGCTAGCGAAGGTTATTACATTCAATAAATGCAGTAATTATTATCGTATTGCTTCATAATACATGAGTTGCACGAACTTTTCAGAGAGGGTAATATAGTCAATTTATTTGAATTTTCAAAAAAAAAAGGAACTTACTGTTTTGTGGAAGATCGCAATATAATCAAGTAGATATAGCCCTATACGAATGGATCTTGATCTATCAGGAAATTAGTATCATTGCGAAGCCTGAATTTGATGAAAACGAAATCCAGTTGCTAAACGAATAACATAGTTTACAACAAGTATTGTCTAAAATATTAGAGAAAGCAAGTACATAACTTGCTGTAGTTATGAACCACAAGTGTAACAGCTGCTAAAGCAAAGCTTGTTGTTCTAGAAACTCAATTATTTGAAAATAGTGAAAATTTGAAAAAAATACGAACAAAAAACTAAATAAAAAACA